CTTTGTCATCAATTTTCTTATCACTTGCTAATTCATGAATATTTTTAGCAAAATTTTTTATCGAAAATTTTAGCTATTGAAATGATGTTAAATGATAAATTCTTATTATGTTGGATGTGTTTGCTTAATTTCTAGAATTTAGATTAAAAAATACCATTTTAATAAGTTAATAAAATGAAAGATTAAATCTATCAAAGACATGTAAACGGTAAAGATGAAGAACAATTGTTGTATATGCAAAATAAATTATAATCAAATCAAAAATGATATTACTCTACCATTTTACTTTAGTGATATTCTCATTTCTTATTTTACACTTTGTCATTCTTTATATAGCAGTACTTTAACATATATCATTATTACGATTAATTAGATGTACAATTATCAATTTTTTTTTTATAAACTTTTACCTTTTAACCAGACACTTATTCAGTTAGAAATGATTAATTTTTGTTATTCTTTTTTCTGTTTTCGTTTATCATTTCTATATAATAATTAATGAAAAGATATACATATCATTTGTTTACAAATACTGCCCACTTAATTCATTTGAGTATTTTTATGATATATCTATTGCGATAGTAACATCAAATATTCATTTACTGATAAATTCTATCTTTACAGAAAAAAAATGACGAAGCAATACTGTAAGTATGTATATTACTTATTCATTATTTATTTGTTTATCTGAGTATATAAGATACTTGAGAGTCGAAAGGACAGGTGTACGATAATAGAAACAGGTGCTTTTCATAAGTTAAGAGGGAAAATAGACGAAATATTGATGAGAAAGAAAAGAAAAAAAAATGTAAGGTCATCTAAAACCGGTTACTATTTTATAAACAAATAATTGGCGCGTTCGTCCTCATCCGTTAGGATCAACGGCGAATATGTTTGTTTAAATTGTCCCATTTGCCTCGAAATGTAATTTGACACTTGATTATCATATAATTGATGATGATGAGGTGATGAGATGATGATGGAAGGAAAAGAAAAGAAAGGTAGGATAACGATTTGATAATAATGGTGAAATGGGATGATGATGATGATGAGGTCGTATCAGGTCATCAACCTCCTTTCTCTTACCCTAATACATTTGAGAGAGCTTATTTAACTGTTTATAATTCTAATGGATTACTGTAACTTTGATTTTTTTCTCTTTTGAAATCAAATTTTCAATAACTTTTGTAAAAATAAAATGCAAAAATTTTATTTATTTAATTACTGCACTAATATGAAAATTTGACATAAATTTTAATTTTACCTTTAATCTCATTTTCTGTGTCTTTCTTTTTATCATTTTTTCCTAATATTGTTTAATACTTTTGTACTTTTTTCACTTCAGTATTTGGTAATTTTTCTAAAATTTTTTTTATTATTCATATTAAAATATTTCCTTCTATTTCTGTATTTTTTTCTTCTGCCTTAACTTGAAAGTAAGCAATTAGATAATCTGAAAATAATTTTTTATTATTCATATTAAAATATTTCCTTCTATTTTTGTATTTTTTTCTTCTGCCTTAACTTGAAAGTAAGCAATTAGATAATCTGAAAATAATTTTTTATTATTCATATTAAAATATTTCCTTCTATTTTTGTATTTTTTTCTTCTGCCTTAACTTGAAAGTAAGCAATTAGATAATCTGAAAATAATTTTTTATTATTCATATTAAAATATTTCCTTCTAGTTTTGTATTTTTTTCTTCTGCCTTAACTTGAAAGTAAGCAATTAGATAATCTGAAAATAATTTTTTATTATTCATATTAAAATATTTCCTTCTAGTTTTGTATTTTTTTCTTCTGCCTTAACTTGAAAGTAAGCAATTAGATAATCTGAAAATAATTTTACATTAGACTGAAATTCATACATTTTGCTATTTACTATCAATCATTATTATAGTACACTTAATTTCTCCGCTCTTTTCATCATTGTTCACTTAACCATTAATAGGTCTAAATTTGAAAAAGCGAAATAACTGAATGAAAATTATTGTATTATTCTATTTGTTTATTAATTATTATTTCTGTTTTCTTTTTTTAAATTTTTTCTTGCAGGGAATTTTTTTATAATCAAATGGATAAATACGCAAGGAATTATCTAGCTGAAGGGATCAAGAATAAGGATGATATTATTGTTACACCAGAATCGGAAATTTATAAAAGTCTCAATCAGCACTATAATCGTAATAACCATATTCAGGTTAATTAGTTGGAAAATATTTTTGAGTAAGAAAAGTATCATAGTTTTGGTTAATTAAATATGATAGCTCATTGATTTTAACAAGGAGGAAGGATTTTTACTAGTGTGCGATTTTACGATAATTCTTTTACCAGTCGAAAAAAATTGCACAAAGTTACTATTAATGTTTTTAGCCATAAATTTATGCTTTTTAAGTTTATGCAAAATTATTTGTTAGAAAAATTTTAGTGTGTTTACATCATTTTCTTTTTTTTTCGAAAAAAAGTTTTAAAAAATTGAGACGAAATCTTAACAGCAAAACAGAAAAAAAGATGATACATTTGGTAAGTCTCGAATATTCAATTATTGCTTTTACATTTCAATAAATTTTAATAGAATTTATTAATTTGCAGCCACCAGAACGGCTATCATTGGTAATACAAGAAACATTACGTGAATTTTTTTGTGCTGTACAAAGTGGACGTGATGCAGAGCCATCTTGGAAAAAGACAATTTATAAAGTAATTAACCGAATGGATGATCCAATTCCGGAATATTTTAAGGATCCTAATTTTCTAGAACGTTTGGAGGGCTAAGAAAGAATTTTTTCTCTCTCCAAATGCTTCCTTAACTAACAAAATGTTTCATTTTATTTTGCGGTTGCTTTTTAATTTTTATTTCAATTTATATTATTTGCAATTTTTTTGTTTTTTTTTTTGTATAAATTTGAAGAAAAAAGCAAAATTGAACTTGGATTTTTATTTTTTTTTAAATCATGCAAAGCTTGTCAAATAAAAAAAGTCTCTTTTGGGAATCTGATGGAACAATATTTAACTTAAAAGTGTGTAAATTGATAAATGCATAAACATTCTAGTTTTTTTTCGTTTTTTTTCGTTTTTTTTTTGAACAACAACAATAAATTTTGAAAAAATCATATGCCATTATATTATCAAGAACAATAATTTAAATCCAGCATGACTGGAAAATTTTTTAATTTGTGAATCTTTAAGTTACTTAAATTAAAATTTGCTTAAGTTGATTAAATCATTTTCAATTCCTTTCTTTTTCTCCTACACCCCTTATTACTTACTCTTTCTCTATCTTAACTCTTTACAAAGGATTTCACCCATCTAATATATAATTATGTACTTTTTTTTTCAGGGAAATTTTCTTTGTTTAAATGATGAAACATTCTAATTTTTTTTCCTTTTTCTTGTTCAAAATCTTTCTTCCAATCATTTTCATTTAGTAAATGATTTTGACTTTATCAAACGGAATGGTTTCATATACCTATGTGCATGTTGTGTGTGTGTGTGTGTATGTGTATGTGTGTATGTGTATAGGTGTGTGTGTGTGTGTGTGTGTGTGTGTGTGTGTGTGTGTGTGTGTGTGTGTAAAGTATATAATATGAAAATTTCAATTAAAATTCCGGTCATCTTTACTATTTTCAAGGGAACGGATTTTCCGTGAAATAAATTAAACTGATCGAAGCATAAAGGAAGAATAATTGAACACAAACAATGAATGGTATTTATTAAAGAAGAAGGAAACGAATTGAATGATGGATTGTTCCATTCATAAAGTATTAATAATAATAATAATATGTCTCACTTCTATATCATAACATAAAATTATAATAATATTTCTTTGCTTTTCTATATTTCCTAAACCTATTTCTTTCTTTCATTTTCAAGCATTTAAGAATTTATTGAAGCGAAACAAAACCGCCACTTACTTTATGAAGTAAAATAGGATATTTTGAAATTTGATTGAAAATTGAGAATTAATCTGCAAATTATCTGAGAATTTGCTGGAAAAATTTATCTTAAATATATAGATAAATCGACTAATATCTTCCTTATGTTTTCTGCTATGAAAATTTTGGTTTATATTTATTATTATTATTTTTTTTTTTTTTTTAAAAAAAAAGGAAGAGAAAATGCTTAATTAATAAAAAGAAATTTGTCAATGATATTTTATTTTGGGCAAGAAAAAGAATACTCCAGTATCAAAAATTTTATTATTAGTTGTTTTTTATCATGGATTAAAAATTTTTTGATTTCTAATCTTTACTTAAATTATATTGACGTTATTTATTAAGCTCAAATTGTTTATCAGAAACCGTTCAATTTTCAATGACCGTTAATCTAATTTATCAACCACAAAATTATCATTTTGGAAAAAGGAATACAACGAAATAATTACCGATAAATTTCTCTATATTTTTTCTTCAAGTCGACCATATCAAAATCATGATCAAACATTAAATTATCATTTGAAAGATCACAAACGATGATAGTATGATCTAATACCGATAAACAACATACAGGCGTATACATTCATTCACTCCAGGAAAACGATTCATATTTTCAATTACTTTATCCAATTATTTTATCTTATTTATCCTGTTATTAATTTCTAGCACCTCAAATTATTAAATCAACTAGGGAGAGCAATAATAATAATAATAACAATAATAATCTTTGTGTAATTAATAAAAACTAACCTAAGTTGTGCATAAATTTTGTTCTATTTGATAGCAAAAAGCTATTTTATATTAAAAAAGAAAGAGCAGAGTCTGTTGCAAAAAAAAGAAAGCAAAAAGCAATGATAATAATTTCAATTAAAATAAAAATTAAATGAGAAATAGTTAACAAAAAATAAAAGAAAGAAATTAAGAAAAAAAAAAATGAAATTAGTGAAGTAATTACCACATAGAAAGTACAGATGAAAAAAAAAAAAAACTGTTTACAAACGTATTGAAAATGAGTAAATTTTAAGTTTAATTTTTTGTTTTTGAAATCTTTTGGAAAAGTGAAAATCATTTGATAGAATGAAGTTCAGTAATTGGCGAAATTTCATTTGAATTTGAAAATTCACTGCTGACTGTTCGAGCTGTCGAACTCTTCCCATTATCGTTTTCAGCATTGCTGTTTTCATCGTTATAATCAATATCACTACTGATACCCGATAATCTTTCCGGATCACTTTCACTTTTGATTGCATGGCTAGAATTTCTTCGTCTTTTGGTTGTCAAATTTCTGTAGTTACAAGAGAAAAAATTTTGATGCATACCAATTTGCTATGATTAAACTGCTATTAAAAATAAGAATTCAAAACAAACAAAAAATAATACTCAATTGGGTATATTAAATTAAAAATTTATAACTTCTTTTAAAAAAATTGAAGAAGTAAAACTTGATGAACTTACTTACTTTTTTAATTTTCCAATTGATTGTCTTGCAGTTGAACCGGAATTATATTCACTTATAGTTGCTTTCGGATTAGAGCAATTGCTATTTTTGTCACTGCTTTTGTTGTTAATCGATTTTTGTATTAAATTTTGATTTGTTGATTTTGTTAAAGACCCACAATTATTTAACATTGAAACGTTAGAAATATTTTTGTCTAAAAATAAATACAATTTATTAATACAACAGATTTTGCTTCTTTTCAATCCTAAAATTTGTTTACAAAATTCAAAACTACAATTCCCAGAAAAAAAAAATTGAAAATAATAAGTTTAGTAGAGAAAGAAATATTTTCAGTAATGAGATGACAATAATAGTTGGACAGAAAATAATTGCATTAAAAAACAGAAACATAACGAACTTATAAATGATAATCTGGCACTGATCGATCGTTTATCTGATCGATGTGATGGAATAGCGGACATTTGATACAATCGTTCCATTTTCCGCTTCGAATTTTTGGATGCATCGCTTAGTTTATTAGATTTTTTCGCATGCATCTTTTGTTGCATTATTTGTTTAGTAATTAACTGATCTAATTTACGTAACAGTTGTTGCTGACAAATAGAATTATAACTATTTGATCGATTACAGAAAATATTTGCATAACACTGACTTCGAGATTTATTTGATCCATTCGTAATTCTTGGCTTGTTGCAAAATCTTTCTATACTCAATTTTGCACAATCATCGATTAAATTAGGCAATTTCATAGGTAACCTTTGACATTTAGCTTTATTGAAGCACTCCGTACTTTTCTTCATTGGTTTCTTCGATAGATTATTTCGCTTTCTCAATGGACTACTGAATTGATTTGAATTCTTACCAGCAACTGATAGCTTATTGTCTTAAATTGATTGGCAAAAATAAATTTCAACGAAACATTAATAGATTACTAAACAAATAAAGCATATTACTAAAACAAATGGAATAAAATTAGGTAAATTGTTAAGAATTAGATTTAAAAATATTATGAACTAAAAATGATTATAATTAGACCTTTGTTATTATTACTCTTATTATTATTACTCTAATAATATAATTTATTATTAATTATTATTGTCATCACTACTGTTGCTATTATTGTTGTTTTACAGCTTAACGAATAAAAATACTATTACGAAGATACCAGAATTTTTTCCTAATTGTCGGTTCTTTTCGTTGACAGCCAAAGCATGGCTAATTATTTCAGCAATTATTTCTGTCAACTGTTGCCGAGAAATTCTTTTAGAAAGTTGAACGGCTGCATCCTTCATTGTGACATGTTTTGCCTTTTCCTTTACCTGTGTCTTCTTATTCTTCAATTTTTGATCTTTCGTCGAAAAATGGAAAATAATTAGAAATAAGCAAAAAAAAAATAGAAGGCAATTTATTCTATAATTAAATCAAGACTAATAATAACTGCAGTTATTTCTAATAATGCACTAATGCACTGATAAATTTATAACAGGTTCCTCATTAATTTTTCAAAATAAAAATTAGTTAATTAAAACACTAAAAGCTTTTACTTACTGCATCTCTCAATTGAACAAATAAATTATGAAATTTTCATTTCGAATCAGTGTGTCAACAATATTTATGCAATGAAATCTCTATATGGTACTACTTTTTAAATTGGTAGCAATTATTTTTGACTTAATGAAAATTAATTGTTGTCAAAATTTTCATCCAATTAATAAACAACAATATGCGAATTATATTGAACATTTTCATTATCGAATTTCATTTCTGTTATAATGAAATTCAAATTGTTTTGATTTCCACTTTTATTGCTTTCACTTATAATTTATACAATAAAAAACAAGCGAATTTTTCTTAAAAATTTTTTACTTGTATGGCAACGTGTCGCATTGTCACACTCATTTGAACCTGTCGATTCATCCGGCACCAGTCCGTTTGAGTATTCCTGTTAACGGCAAGAACACTACGGTGAAAAACTGTGGGATGGATGCGATCTACGTTAAAAATACGCATTGCAACATGCACATGCAAATTCTTTGATGAATTATCCAATAGATATAACTTCATAATTCCTTTGCAGTTTGCCGTATCCTTAAAATAACTGAGCAAATGAAATTTGAATAGAATAGATGTGATTTCTTTTCAATAATGCTAAAAATTTAATTTAATAATTTTTAAATATATTGATATACAGGAAAAGAATTGTTAAGTGTAATTTTATTGCAGAATATTTTTTGGACAAAACAAAAATTGATAAGTCAAAATAGACATATTTAAGAAAATTTGGGAATTTTCTCCATTCATATCACATTTTACTTAAATTTGTACATAATTCACATCGTATAATTTTTACAATTTTTTCATATAAGTGAATAAAAAGTAAATGACAAAAAAGATTTACTTTGGTTCTACAGAATGATCCCAAGCTAACATTACATGAATAAATCGACTGATCGTTACAGATCGCGCGAACACGAAGATTACCGGTGATCATTTGATTCAAAAAGTTAGCTTCATTAATTAGGTAACATCTTTTACCAATATTATTCCAACATCCTACAAATAATTTTGTAAAATGCTGTATTTGGATTGATACATCGATTTATCGATTTTTGTTTCATTTAATGTAAATTTTGCTTAGATTAAAATTTTAATATTTATTGTTAAATTTCACTCTACAACAGTGCAAGAAATTGAAATATTTTGGATAAATAATTTTTGAAATTTAACAAGTTTTGATCATGAAGAAATCAAAATTAAATATTTTACGAAATCAAAGTAAATGAACTATCCGTGTGAAATAGTAAACCATTCGTAATCATTAAATTTGATTTCCAGTGATCGAACATTTGTCGAATTTGATATCATTTCAATGGATTCGATGAAAAATTCGAAGCAAAATAGGCTTCTGTCCTCAGACGATGACATTCTTCTAAATAACAGAGCCATAGATGACATTTCTGTTGCCATGGAAGCATAATTTATTGATAAATGCGATTGGGTGCAACTGAATAATGAACTGAAAATGTGATAAGCAAATTTGATATGTAAGTAACACATATTAATATTTGCGATGGAAAGTTGGTGAGAAAAGTTCCTATAACTTTCTTGTAGTAATAATAATAATAATTACAGTAATAAATGTTATTAATGTTGTTATTGTTATTACAATTTCAAGATTACTCTTCTTCTGTCATCTTATGATTAGAATGACAAGTAGGCTGATAAAATTTATTACTGAGATTTGTTAGCTCAAAAAATGTTGCTAAACTTTTAGAAGTTATAGCTACATACGAAATATTTATTAGAAATATCTGATTAGTATGTCTATATATAATTGAGTTGTCATAATTTATTAAGTTTATCACCTTTTGCAAACCTAATTTATCATTATGTATTTTTATCATCTGCTGTATTATCAGTACTATCAGTATTGCCAAATAAATATGGTAGGAATTAAACAAAAGAGAAATATTGCAGCAAAAGATGAAATAAATTCACTAAAAATTAAGAAAAAAAGAATGAAAGGGAGAAAAAGAAAGAACGAAAAGGTGAGAAAGAAAAATTTTTTATAAAAAAAAAAGATACGGACGGTAAAAAATGGTAATAGAGAAAGGGTAAAGGAGGTAAATTAAAATTAATGTATTTATTACAAAAAAAAAAAGATAAAATAAAAATGACACGAACGTAAAATAGATGAAAATGGTTGACCGTAATTGAATATGAGAACTGGTTTTTTTGCCATTTTAAATCATTGTCAACTATCTTGCCAGATAGATCGTTAAACTCTACCAAAATGTGCTTTTGCAATCGTTACTTTCCAATTACTTTCATCAAAAAGTCCTTCTCATTTTTCAATTTTTTCATTTTTTCTTTCTCAATTTTCTTCTCAGTTAATGTTTTAAATTAGCCCTTTATCATTCTTAAGATAATTTCATTGTTTCTCTTACTTTTTCTCCCGTTTTTAAAATATTATCACTTATTATCAATAGATCATTATTGATTATTACATTATCTTGAACAATTATCAGAACACCATTACCATTAATATATCTTCTTTTTTCTTTCATTGTGCGTTATCTAATGCTTTAACGAATATAATGATAATTCTGAGATAAAAATTTTGCACGAACTTTTGTCATGCTTCTTTACAAACTTTAATATTATCAGTATATTACTAGCCTCATCAAAAGTATTGATATAAATGAGTTGATAAGATGTTATAGATTTTAATTTTTAATAAGCAACTTTTTAGGTAAAGTTTTTGAATAAAAAGAAAGAATGATAGTATTGAAGCAGGCCATCTTTTAAAAAATTAAAGCAATTGGAAAAAAAAATTTGGGGAAATTTTAAAACAAAATTTAAAAAAGACGAAATGATACCAAATCATTTTTTTAAAACAAGATTTGGTAGTAAATGGAAAATGCCTTTTCTATTCTTTTCTCCTCATTTTAACTCGTTAATATTTATTTGTTAGTTAAAGTTTGATTCTTATGAACTTAATATTATCAAGTTGAAAATATTACAACTATGTAAACATGTGTTTTATAATTTTTCTTATCAAGTTTTTCAGTACCGCAACTGATAACGCTATCATTTTGACAGCACTGATAAATCAAATTAAGCAAAGCAAAAATTAAAATTCCTTAGTTTCTGCGTTTTTTTCTGACTGCATTTTTCAGTATCACTAATGTTGTTTTACTGGAACCTTAAATTATTCGAATTCAAATCTTTAATAGTAATATGTTCTTTGCTAAATTGTTATAAGCATACTTTCAGATATGCTAATCAGTACATAATATTACAAAACAATTATTTCTAATCAGTAAACAATTATAGCATTAGTAAGGCTATAATAATTTTTGCTGTGCAAAATTTCTATTAAAATTTTTCCAATCTTTTATTATCATTATTATTATTATTATTATTATTGTATTTTTCGTTGTTGTTTTTAATTGTATTGATTTTTTCACTGCTTTGTTTTAAATTGGTAAAAATTTAATTTAATAATTTTGTTTCGTAATATTTCAGATTGAAAGCTGGATTGAATTAAAAAGTTGAAAATATGTTTTACAATATTAATCGCTTCCATATATTTGTCCTAATTACCTGGCAATTCAGTATATTTTTCGCATCACAAATGATTTATCCCATATTTGCAAATTATATTCCACAGTGGCGCTGTTCTGTCAATCAGTCATTTTCCAATAATTGTACCATTTTTCTATCATGTAAAGATAGCATTCAGTTCAGTGAGGTATTTCAGTTTGTTTATTTATTATATTTATATTTATTTAATTAGGTAATTACTTGCATTCATACACTTTTACTTAACTAATTAGTGTTCAATTCATTTTCAATTTCTAATTTATTGCATTTATAAAAAGGAAAAAACACATTCAATGAATTTATAGAACATTATTTAAAATGCATTTTTGTTTTTCATTTACTTATTTTCTTGCATTTGTAAGATAATATCTGATATATTTTTATTCAATTAATCAATATTTAGCTATTTTATTGTATTCAATTTCACGTCAGTGAATTATTATCGTCGTTTTTCATTATTTTTATTGAGAATTAGATAAATCTTTTTTTCATTATTCTTTTTTTCCAAATTCAACAAAGTTTATATAAAACGTTATTAAATGAATTTTTAGACAATTTTTCGTTAACTTTTTTAGTGTAGTTTTTATTTTTTCTTTAATTTATGAGAAAATAATAAACCTTAATTCTTTTTTGATTTTTTAATTTGGAGATGGTAAAAATTGGCTAATTTATCAAATGTTTAAATTTGAATTACAAATCAGAAATGTAATTTTTAATGCAAAAAATTACTTTTAATGCTAAAAAAATTATCATTAATAATTTTTAATTCGTTATTTATTAATATTTAATAATTAAGCTAATGATTTCTTTTATGATTTGTTACTTTGCAAATAACATGACAGTGGAAAAAATAAAAGATTAAATTTTAAAACACCGCATTTTTTAACTATTCCTATCTATTGCATTTCTATAAGTGTTCTTTTATAATATTTTAAAATCAATTTTTATAAATATCTATTATTTGGTAAATAAATATTTGTGTTTTTTGTCAAGTAATTGAAAATTTTCAGATAGCATTTTTCTCAGCAGCTCTTGAATATGACTGGATTTGTGGTGCATCTGCATACTGGGCATCACTATTCAGCCAAATACAGTTTCTTGGTGTTTTATTGGGTACAATAATTACGGGAACTTTATCGGATATTTTTGGACGACATCCTTTAGCTTTAATTTCACTCACTTGTGGCATTATCGTTTCCTTCTGCTCAGGTACAATTTTGTGTCATAATTCTGGATTTTCTTTTTTCTTTTTTTTTTTTACACCTAATAAAACTATCAAAAAAGAAATCTGTCATAAAATTTAATTATCATTATACTGCTCTTTGGTTATAATAGTGTCATAAAGTTTTGAAAATTTTTGAAGGAAATTATGATGATTATTACAGTATCGCTGGATGGTTATTATTGTCCATTTACATTGATTTTTTTTTTCTTTTAATTATTTTGAAAGGAAAAAGAAAAAATGATTAAATAGATTTTGTTTTTTATTTCGAGTGATTAGTTTTAAATTTAAATTTTAGGATTAGCACCAAGTTGGGAAATTTTGTTGGTTTTAAGATTTTTCGTTGGCCTTTCCATTGGTGGTACAATTGTGGTAGTATGTACATATGTGATGGAAATGCTTTTACCCAAGCAACGTATGGCGCTCAGAGCCTTTTTCAATTGGGTAATTTGATGTTTTCTAATTTTTTAAGACAAAAAAAAAAAAAGAATGAATTAAACTAATTTACAAATGATTCAATTTCTTTCAGAATAATTTAAGTTAATAATATACAAGTGCAAATGCAATAATTATAAATAATAACAGAGAAATAATTAATTTAATTGCGATAACTTTATTAGTATGGTCATATCCTGTAGCTCATTATTGATATAATTTAATTTATACTTGCTTTTTATCCATT